GGATGGATGGATGAATGGATAGAGGGATGGATGAATGGACAGACGGATGGAGGGAGGAAGGGTGGGATGGACGGATGGACAGACAGAGGGAGGGAGGGCGGGATGGATGGAGGGATGGATGGACAGAGATGGATGGATGGATGGACAGATGGAGGGATGGACAGATGGATGGATGGACAGGCGGATGGAGGGAGGAAGGGTGGGATGCAGGGAGGGAGGGCAGAATGGATGGATGGAGGGATGGATGGATGGACAAAAGGGGGAGGGGGGGTGTTGCTTCTGGCCGACCTGGCCGGACACAGGGAGCTTGTGTGTGATCTTCTCCACAAGTGCTGCCTGAGCCCTGGGTGTGTGTCCCCCACTCTTACGGGGTCTCCACCCTGTTCCAGAATTGAGTCAGCAAAAAGCCCCTGGAGGGCCAGCCTGGTATCCAGCAGGCTGCGGGTTATTGTCCCCATACCCGCCTGGCTCTATGCACTTTCTCCACAGATGCCTCTTAAAATCCACTTCTGCATTCCCACAAGACCCAGACCTCAGGCACTGCTTCAGACACAAGCTCTTCCTGGTCCCTCCCCTTTGTTAGCCACCCCCCATTATTTGGTCTGTATTTTGACTGACCTGTGTAGGGACTCCTCCCCCCTCCCAGGGCAGGAACTGTTTTCTTTTCGGTCTTTGTATTCCCAGTATCCAGCAGTGTCTACTAACATAGACTGAGGGATAGAGATAGGGCCTGGGGAACTCCCTGTGAGAAAACTCCCTCTGCCAATGCAGGTCAGCAGCCTTCTTGCGATTTGTAGTCACAGAGAGTTGCCTAGAGCCCTGAGAGGAAGAATACCTTTCAGGATCACCCAGCCGGAATGCCAGAGGCAGCTCTTGAATCCACGTCTCCCTGGCTCTTCACCTGCCACCCCAGCACATCATAGGTGCTTATGAAATACTGAGTCCAGTTAAATTGGGCTGGAGCCAGGGCAGCAGTAACCACACCTAACATCTAGGTGACTTGCTTTGTACTAGGTCATTGTTGTTCTGGGAGCCATGGGAGGGCATGTTGTTGCAACCAATAGAAATCTGGGTGGTTGTCGAGAGGTTAAATCTATGACGTTTCAAGCAGGTGTCCGTGTTTCTTTTTGTGTGTCATGAAAACACAAAATTGAATGGAAACTCCTTGAGGGCCGAGATTCTGGTTTTGTGTCTTTGCATCACCATCTGGGTGTGTGCTGGGCCCCTGTAGAGTGCTTACTGAATGGTCATTGAATTGAATGAAATTCCAGATAGTAACTATAGTAACAGAATTTCCGTCCTCTTCACAGGCAATAGTTTGGGATGAATACCTGACAGGACCTTTTGGACTGATTGCACAGTATTCACTATTGAAGGTAAATAAAATACAGGATTTGAAGGAGGAAAGGTTGAGGTCTTATTTTAAATTTCATAACGAGCATCCTCACAGCACATGCTTTCTATCCCTTTTAGACCCTCACGTTCAGTGTTTGTTATTAGTATCCAAAGGTACCAAAGGCCAGTGGCCTTTGTTGGAGATGCTGTAGCTAATGTTGCTAAGACCCAGCATATCAAGGTGACTACCAGTCTAATACTGTATCATGATACCACACTTTATAGTCCTTTATATTATGATGTTATTGTTGTTGTTGAGTTTGTAAGACTCATCCTGACCCCATTTGGGGTCTTCTTGGCAAAGACACTGGAGTGGTTTGCCATTTCCTCCTCCAGCTCATTTTACAGATGAGGAAACTGAGGCAAACAGGGTGAAGTGACTTGCCCAGGGTCACACAGCTAGTGTCTTAAAGCTCAGGTCTTCCTGACTCTAGGCCCAGCACTCTGTGCACTATGGCGCCACCTAGCGGCCCCCTTTTTCTCAATGCTTCATGCTTAAACCTATATGGTGCTAAGCCCATTGTAAGTGCTTTTTAAGTGTTTGCTGAATTGAATGTTCAATTTCAGATACACGTTTTTCCGTTAACAACTTTTGTCTTTTCTTAGGAACATGAGGTGGAAAAAATGTTCACACTTAAAGGAAGCCGTCTGCCTGCAGCTGATGTCAAGAACATTATTTTTTTTGTCAGACCCAGGCTAGAATTGATGGATATAATTGCTGAAAATGTACTCAGGTATCTAAGGGGGAAACCTTAAATTTATATAAACATAAAATAGTGGCTGTAATTCTTACATTCAAACCTTTGAAGAAGAGTGTGGATGTATGGAATACATTCAGGATGTGACGTGGCTATCACAGGAAAATGAATAGGGTGGAAGGGTAGCTGAGCTAGAGGAGGAGAACTGAGCCAAGAAGGCCTGGAATGTTAGAGCTTGGGCGGGGATGGAAGGGTTGGGGCGTGGTGGAGGTGGGACCTTAGAGGTTGTCCAGTACAGCCCCCTCATTGCACTGACCTGGAGGTCCTTGGAGGGAAGCCTTTGACGGGGAGCTCTGGTTGGCAGGGACCTTAGAGGCCGGCCAGGGCTTTAGGACCACTGTCCCACACTGCCTCCTCAGCAAGGTGTTAAGTAGGAAATACTGAATTGGGCTTTCTGTGGGGCCACTCTTAAAGGTGTGAGGCAGGCTCTCCTGGGATGACTAGGGTTGGGCAGGGGCGCAGAACGGAACTTCTCTGAAGGATCTACTAGATCATATTACAAGATTTAGAGTTGGAAGGGACATGGTGACCCAGTGCCATCAGCGAATGGCCAGACAAGGAGCCTGAGGCCCAAACACCTTAAACGACTTCTTGAAGGCTACGAGGAGGCAGAGTGCCCTTGCCCAGATACCGCGCTCTGTTACCTAAACACAGTTTGTCCTTTAGAGTAGACGAGTCTTTGCTTCTGTTTCACAAAAGAAAATAAGCAAAGCTTTTCTGGAGCTAAAATTAGATCCTCCCGTTTACAGAGCCTTCCCCATAGCCCTTGGGATACTGGGTTGATCTCTTTCACGGGGCATCAGCATCAGAATGATAATAATAAATAGTGACAAAGACACATCTGCTCTTTAGGTCAGGGACTGTTTTTCATATTGTCTTTCTGTTCTCAGTGCAAAGCCTACAGGACCTCATGCATCATGGGCCCTTATCAGCACTGGCTGAACTGATTGAATTGCACTGAAACACCCTTAAATGTTAACACGTGTTTGGAGTCATCAGTTGGAAAAAAGGGGAGAGAACACAGAAGGAAAGAATCCCTCAGAAGCTTGCTAAATATTTTAATCTGAGGCTCGCTCTGTGTTGCTGCTTTGGTCTAGTTAGAGCGTTATTTATTTTCCTTAAGTTGGATTTCCTGCTACATTAAATCAAGCACTTTATTGCCGCAAAGTGTAACATAAAGGGTTTGAAAGAGGATTTCAAAATGAATGATAAGCCCCAGAGGGAAGGGAAGAGAACAAGCATTTATTAAGCTTCTCCTGTGTGTGTCTGTATACACATTATCTCTTTGGGGCAGCTAGGTGGCGCAGTGGATAGAGCTCCGGCCTTGGAGTCAGGAGGATCTGAGTTCAAATCTGGCCTCAGACACATAACACTTAGTAGCTGTGTGACCCTGGACAAGTCATTTAACCCCATTGCCTAACAAAAAAAAGAACAAACATTATCTCTTTTTATTCTCACAACCCTGAGAGGTAGGTACTGTTATCCTCATTTTACAGTTGATAAACTGAGGCAGATGGGTTAATTGACTTGCTCAGGGTCACATAGTAAGTGTTTGAGGTTAATTTGAACTCAGGTCTTCCTGACTCCAGGCCAGGTGCTCTCTGGTGCCCCCCAGCTGCCTCCAAGACCACATTTCTGTTTACGTGCCTGTGTTCTTTTCCAGTGCCAATGCCTTTAGCCATTTGTCTTTGAGACTATAAACATAAGAAACATTTTGTTCCTTTCTAGTGAAGATAGACGCTCCCCTGCAAGAGATTTCCACATTTTGTTCGTCCCTCGCCGGAGCTTGCTGTGTGAGCAGCGCTTGAAGGATCAGGGTGTTCTAGGGTCCTTTATTCACAGAGAAGAGTACAGCCTCGACCTCATTCCGTTTGATGGCGACTTGTTATCCATGGAGTCTGAGAGCGCCTTTAAGGTACGTGTGGAGCAGCTCTGTTAAGGGAAAAGTAGGAACATTTCGACTTTATGCGTCAGCTTTGATCTCATGCCTTGACAGGTATTATTATTTATTAGTTTTGTTTAGCACTTTTTCTCCGAGAGAGAGATTTTCTGCTGTTTGAAAAGGTACCCTTTGTTATTAACTTCCCTCAGGGTGCAGGAAAAATGTAGAGGTTCCAATAGAGCAAAGAGGGTCCAAATAGCTGTGAGCAGGTCATGGGAATAGCTGCTGAAGAAAGGGAGAGGACAGGAATGCTCAGGGAAGGTCAGGCAGCAGGGCTGTGGTCTTATAGACCAGTGCCTCAAAGCCTAGCAGGCAGAGTACATGAAATCTTTGTCATTTGGAAAAGTTGGTGATGTGACTTTCTGTCCTGACAGAATCAGGCGTAGACGTGCAGCCTGGGCATTGATTATTTAATATCTGTGCTTGGGATTAGAACTCAGACCCCCTCAGAGCTGTAACAAGTTGAAAGCTTTGCTTATGGCAAGGCAGTTTTAGTGGGTTTTTCTCCGCCATGAATAAATTGATGTGAAAGTCAAATCAGTTTGTTCCATTGGGGGGTTGGCATAGTGGGGGAAGGGAAGTGGGGGTGCTGGTCTGAATGCTGAAATCTGCACCTGCGTGGAAGTTGGTGCCCCCGACAGTGTGTCACGTCTGTATTTGGGCTGGCCCAATCAGCTGAGGGCCTCGGCAGTGTCACACACCCTACCTCATCTTGGCTCCAAAGGCCTGAGCCCTAACCTCGGGCCCACTAGTTCATATGGGATTTAGACTGCCAGGCAGGACCAGGGTGGGACTTCAGCAATGAAGACTGTTCCTGCTGCTGAAACAAGAATTCCCATCCCTCCTGTTAGGGGGCGAGGAGCTTTCACTTCCCATACGAAGGCTGATTTGGGGCTGTTTCACATGTACGTGTTTAAAACAGTCAGTTTTGGATTCTGCCATTATGTTGAGGTAGCTCTTCAGAGCCTAAAATGAATAAAGACAGACCTGGAATAGGAGACAGTGTCAAGTTACAGTGTCGATCACTTAACGTGACTTCAAAGACCCCAGGGCTTGGGAGTTTAAGACAAAGACAGAAGGTTGGGAAGGAGTCCTGGATTTTCCTCCTTTTTCAGCTCCTAACCAAGAGAAAAATCAGCATTTCTTTTTCATTGTGTGCTCATCTCTGAAATGGGTTGATAATGATGATTTCTCTCACAAAGCACATATGACCAATAGTTAGGGAACTGAGGAAGAATAAGGATATAAAGTACCTGGAAACTTTGTTGTACTGTGAACTGAACTGTTTGACAAAATCTCATTCAATAATTGTGAAGCTTTATTTATTTCCCTGTTTTGTCTAGTTGGCATCCTAGAGGTGATTCAGTAGTTGTAGAGGGAAAAAAACCCAACTTGTTATGGCATGATAGTTATCTGCCAAGAGACCTGACTTGCTGTTTTCTTTTACCGGCCATATTTGGAAAACGGGCCTGTTTCCACTTAGAATCTGAAGCACTGTCCCTTTGTGGGTTGACTTGTAAATTACATGTTTGATGAGTTTTAGAAATAATGGATTTTTACCCAGTGATAATTGAAAGCTATAAGCCCAGCTTTAATTTCAAATCTGATGGCTGGGTAAACCTTTCCTGTGGAGTGGATATATTAATTAATTAATTTTCAATTTAATTATCAATTATTAATCAAAAAAGAAAGTCTGGTATTGAAGATGTTAGTGCTTTTTAAATCTTTCTTTGGAAAAGAGATTATGATAGGACAAGATAAGATAATTACTTTGGAATATCAGAAAATGCTTTCCAAAAAAAATTTTTTTTTGCTTTATGTATTATGAAATAGTTTTTATTTCAAAGTTTGTTCATACCAGAAAAACAAATATTCAAATTAAAGTTGATTGTTTTATTTGACATTTCAGTGAGCAAAAAGCTTGATTACAAAGTGAGACCATATCATCAGCCTACCTCAGTTATGCCCCTAGTTATGTTGTGAAAGATTTAACAGAGGTCTTTTACTCTTTGGACACACACATAAGATAGGCCTTTTCTGATTCAGTTTGGTCCTCACTTTTCATCTTAAAAGTAGACTAATAAATTTTATATCTAGGAAATATCTGGCAATACAGCAACATATTCCTATGTTAATTATTTTTAAAAATTGAGTGATCCTAATTAAGAATCAGGATGCTAATATTCATTAATGAAATCAACGAACAATCATTAAGTGCCTACTATGTGCCAGACATCCTATAATTTCTTTTCTCTTGAAATTAGTTTTTCCGGTTTACTTGCAGGGATGTGTTTTTTGCTGGGTGGAATTATAGTAGTTTTGATAAAAATTCTAGTCAGTGCTTAGTCTTATGTACAAGTGGGGGAAAAAATCCCAAGAGATTTTTTATTTAGAATATTCAGAAGAGTCTCTACAAGTAATGAAAATTGCATATCAGCAGTGATAAGACATACTTTCTCTCACCTTTAAGGTTAGACATTCACCACTTAAGACACATAATATTTCCTCATGGCAGAAGAGGAAAAGAACACAAGACTTGGAATCAGAAGACTTGAATTTTCATCTCAGTTCCTTGTGACTCCCCAGGGACCCATGTTTTTATTACCTTCTGAACTTTGGTCTGCTGTATTTCAAAAAATGGTCAAATTAACCAGTGTCCTGTGCTCCCTAGGGCTGCTGGTCTTTTTTTTTTTTTTTTTTGCCTGGAGTGGGGAGGATTATTCTTTATCTCACGAAAGGGCCTCTGGAGGCCTGGTGGCATCTTCCAAGAGCACGTCCTCTCCTCTTCCACCATCCCATCCCTGGAAGTAGCCTAGATGAGAGTTGTTCAGGGTCTGTCTCCTCAATTCCTTACACCTTCCTTCCATTTTCTCCAGGTTTTGCTGTTCAGTCACAGCAGGGATGAACTGGGATGGGGAGGTGATAGTTCCCATTAGCAGGCTAGGGAGAGAACATACAGTGATGGTCCTCTATGAAACACTTTATCATTATTTTCAGAATTTTACTCAATTCATTACTAGGAGACTGAAATGGTAACCACAAAAAGAAAAGACATCAAGTGAGAGCTTTCTGACTAGTAACCTAAATTTTGCCCAACTAGAGAGAGGACTTTGAACTCCCCTTACGGTTGGCCTCGTGACCGAAAATGCCTTTTTTTAAATGAATTAACTACTTGAATTCCCTTGGAAAAGCATGAAATCAACTTTGTTCATTTTCCCTGCAAAAGAGGTTTCTGTTTGTTGGTGACAGAAAGGATTTCTTCACGTGAGAGTGGTAGCTTTTAGTCATCGGTAACTGGAGAATGAGCTCAGAAAAAACATCTGTGTCCTTCTGCTGAGCAGTCTTGAGTAGCCCCTGGCTCCGGGGTGGGGAAGTTGTGGCCCTCTGTGTCCTCTGACGATCCCCCCTTGAGGACCTAGAGGGCCACGTGCAGCCTCCAGGCCACAGCTTCCCCACCCCTGCACTGGCCCCTAAGAGGTGGAAAGGAGTGAAGGCCAAGTGTCGCCTGCCTGGTAACTTCCTTTTTCCTCTGCTCTAGGAGTGCTATTTGGAGAATGACCAGACAAGTCTGTACCACGCAGCGAAAGGACTGATGACTTTGCAAGCCTTGTATGGAACCATCCCCCAGATCTTTGGGAAGGGGGAGTGCGCGAGGGTAACCGACTGTCACGCGCTTCCTTTGCTCCTGGCGGGGCAGCCCACTGGAGCTACAGCGTCCATTAAGCTGCTCGTGGGGAGTCCTAATGACTTTCCCTATAAATATATGATTCGAGATTGTTGGCTTTTCCTGTTTGAGAAAATGATGCTCTTCAGTTTTGCTTTGTTCTTCTGATAGTGCCTGGAGGAATTTTCCCCAAGGCAAGATTGGGAAACTATGTACTAGTTATTCATTCCCCCTATCATCCTTACCCACCCCCTATTGGGGGGGTGAGGGAGGGAAGCCTTTTCCTCTATTTGTTTAGACCAAAGTCTCACAAACTCTTAGAGTTGAAAGGGGGACCTTGTGGGCCATCTAGTCCAATCTTCCACTCCCCTGTGGCCCCTTTAGTGAGACCTATCTGTGATGCAGCAATCCAAGCGTTCAGGGACAGGGTACCGTAATGAAAGTCTGCTCTGATTTCTGCTTGTCAGTCATGCTGTTCCCACCCTCTCTGTCTCCTCTTTTATCTTTTGACTGTCTCAGTTTATAGCCCCATTTTAAATATTTGTAGCTTCCACTGAGAGACCCTATCTTGTCCACTGGGTTTTTTCCAGCAAGTGGCCAATGTGATGATCAGAATGAAGAGGGAGTTCCCTGGAAGCCAGAATTCGATATTTCCTGTTTTTGATACTCTCCTGCTGCTTGACCGGAACGTAGACTTGTTAACCCCTCTGGCCACTCAGCTTACATATGAAGGACTCATTGATGAAATTTATGGCATTCAAAATAGTAAGTAGAGCCAGGAAGACTGAGAAACAAATGCTACCCCAAGATGCAGTTTCAGCTATGCTCTCAAAGTGTGGCATGCATGATATTTGAAGATGTAATCATGCCAAAGGGCTATTTCTGTAGGTAAAAGTTAAAATTAGGGGGGAAAAAAAGGAAAGAAAGAAAAATTCCCTTTACCTTTGACTTGGGATGTGAGGGATTAGCAGTGCCTGAGGAAATGCAGGAGTGTGAGGGACAGAAGAGTCAGTCATTGTACTGGCCCTGGAGAGGGAGAGACAAAATTAGACATGAAACAGTCCAAGATGCTATCTGTTCAGTGACACGTCATCAAGCCAGGAATGTGGTAGGAAGGTCGCCGAGGGAGAAGAGGTCTGTTTGAGTAGTTTGGCATAGATTCACCGTAGAGGACCCAGCCAGCTGGGATAGAGGGTATTTAGGGGAAATGAGTCTGGTAGATTGAGTGGGAATAGAATGAGTGGCGCCAAGGTTGGGCAGAGTTGTTTAGATTTGAGGTCTTGGGCCTTTGGGAGCCATCGGGTGTTTTTAAGCAGAGGGGCGGTGTGATGGAAATACTAAAAGGAGATCCATCTAGCAAGAGTATATAGAATACACTATGTATTATATATATACTATATATAAAATATACAAGAGTGTATAGAATAACATTTTTGTTATTCAGAATGTTTTAGCTTTCAAAATGCATAATTGTAAAATTGCTTTTGTTAATGATAATAAAAGCTAGCATTTATATAGTGCTTACTATGTGCCAGGCACTGTGCTAAGTAAGTACTTTACAATTATCATCTCATTTGGTCCTCACAACAACCCTGGGAGGTAGGTGATATGATTATCTCCATTTTAAAGGTGAGGAAATTGAGGCAAACAAGAGGTGAAGTGATGTGCCTGGGGTCACATAGCTAGTCAGTGTCGAAGACTGAATTTGAACTCAGGTCTTCCTGACTCCAGGCCCAGCATTACCCACTGCACCAGGTCTGGACTGTGCTTAGCTCACTTGTGGATGTAGATCTGTGCCTTAGTGAGGTTCCTGTGAGAGGTCTGCAAAGCTTGAGTTGGAGAAGAGAGGAAGTTTTAACAAAGGGGTGATTAGAGTAGAACAAGCACGTGGAGATGTGGGACTGAGCTAAGGTGCTGGCCGTGGGAGTGGAGAGAGGTTGTGGAGGAGGACTGCCAACAGTTCTTGGCAACTTATTTGTCATGGGGTTGGTGAAGAAGGAAGAGTCAGAGATGAGTCCAGCTTCTAGGTGGCCATCGTCGACAAGGGGGAGATGGGGAGGAGGGGTGGCCTAAGGGGCATTAGGATGAGTTCAGTGTCGAACAAGTCCCATTTGAGGTGACATTCAGTGGTGGTGTCTAGCAGACATCTGGCGGTGTGGGACTGAGTCCAGGAAAAAGACTTGATGCGTAGGCTTCATTTACCTTCATAGAGGTGATACTTAGCACAGGGAAGTCAGTGATGAGCTCGCCAAGGAAGAGAACGCTCAGCACAGAGCCTTGGGGAGACCTGTGCTCCCCTTGGTGGAACCGTCCTCCATCTCCCACCCGGGATCTCTGTCTCATTATCACCTGCCATGGACTGTCTTCACTCTCACATCCTTCTACCAGGAAATTTTCTAAACTGAAGAAGATTTTCCTCACTAATTGAATAAATAGAATCAATAATAGAATACATAAAAAATGACTAAGTGGTCTAAATCTGATCTAGGTAGTAAAGTTCACTCTCCCCTCAATCAGGACTGAAAGGCAGAAAAGAAGGACAGAAAACCCTAGTGCTTCAAGCACTGTCCTGAGAGTTAGCGGGTGGGAGATGGAGGACGGTTCCACCAAGGGGAGCACGAGGGAATGACCAGACAGCTTGGAGGAGAGCCAGCCAACTGAGACCTCCGTGGGCCTGCAAAGAGTGTTAGGGAGGCTAGGGGTGGAAAGCCTCTAGATATGAGGCGGTCGTGTCCAAAGCTGCAGAAACAACAAGGAAAGTCCAGCCCCTCTAGGTGAGATAGCCCATAAGCCCATTAAGGAAGGGGTGCTTACATTCCATAACTTGCTTTCCCAGGAGACACTCAGTGTTCTGTTCTCTGAAGTTTATTTGCAAGGATGTTCTGTGGCCTTTGGGGTGGGGAAGTTCTGTGTCTGGTGGTTTTGTGTGGGCTCTTCAGATGATTCTGCACAGGAATCTTCTCTTCGTCCATCTAGGTTATGTGAAACTACCTCCAGAGAAATTTGCTTCTAAGAAACAGGGGGAGAGTGGGAAGGAGCTGCCCATGGAAGCCAAGAAGCTTCAACTCAATTCTGCAGAGGAGCTCTACGCTGAGATCAGAGACAAAAACTTCAATGCTGTGGGCTCGGTTCTGAGCAAGAAAGCCAAAATCATCTCGGCGGCGTTTGAGGTGAGGCCTTGGGGCATCCCCTGTGCACTCCGCAGCCTGACCTGGAGCCTGAGGGGGCTGCCCATTCTGGGGGCTCCGGCCTCTGAGCAGTCCTGTCAGAACCCAGGGAGAAGGAGCAGCTTTCCCAGTCTCAACTCTCAGGACAGTGCTTGAAGCACTAGGGTTTTCTGTCCTTCTTTTCTGCCTTTCAGTCCTGATTGAGGGGAGAGTGAACTTTACTACCTAGATCAGATTTAGACCACTTAGTCATTTTTTATGTATTCTATTATTGATTCTATTTATTCAATTAGTGAGGAAAATCTTCTTCAGTTTAGAAAATTTCCTGGTAGAAGGATGTGAGAGTGAAGACAGTCCATGGCAGGTGATAATGAGACAGAGATCCCGGGTGGCCCCAGAATTTTAATTTGGGTGTTTCATTATCACCTTCTTGCCTCCGCTTGCCCATTCATCTAGCTTATGCTTGGTTAAATTTATTTTTTTGAACCTGACAATTCAATAAAATGATGAGCTATGAATAATTTTACCTTGAAAATATCCAAAAAAGACATCCATGCCTGTTGATTTTTGAATATATTTCTCATATTTTATCTTTCTTGGGAATTGCCTGTTAATGTGTGGATTAATTTCTACATTAAGCGTAACATTTCTGCAGGGTTTGAGGGTTTGTTTTTAATTACTAAGCATTTTGCTAAAATGAAGTTTTATCATAACTAGATGTTTGCCAAAAAGCTAAGGCAGCTACTAGTAACTTGTGTGGATTTTAAGACAGATGAAACTCACTTTTGGACCCCTGTTCCTCCTCCCCATCTTTCTCCCTTAATTCTCTGTCTGAAGACTCAGATTGCTTTCATTGTGCTTAGTAGAGGTGTGGTGGTCCGGCGTGTAGAGACATCATGGGACTCAGAGTCAGAAAGTCCTGGGCTCATACGCTGCCACAGATGCCTCGAACTGAGTGGTCCTGGGCCAGTCACTTATTTCCTTAGGTGTGAGATGAGAAGGTGGGAGGTGATGGCTTCAAAGGTTCCTTCCAGCTCGAACAAAACAGGGAGCTAGAATAAAACAGGACTTCCCAAGCTGCTGAGCTTTCATTCAAGTGCTTTCCCTGAAACAGGTCCGTGCCACAGGCAGGGCCAAAATCACTGCAGTTTACAAAGGAGGATCTGTGGCTTAGAGAGCTGACCTGCCCAGTACTGCCAAGCTTAGAAGCATCAGCCTCAGGACTTAAATAGAGGCCTCTCTCCTGACTCCAATGTGTGCCGTGCTCCCTCTCAGAAAGGAAGATGACACCAATAAAGAAAACCTACGCTTTTATTCTGTGGAATGCTTAGCTTGGCTTTTGTGTTTCTCTTTTGGTTTTGAGATGGGCTTGGGCTGGGTAGTTATTCCGTGGCCCTTGCCTCCCGCCCTCCCGCTGCCCTCATTTTTACATGTAGTAAGCCATGGAGTGTCTTGTGGAACCTAAAACAAGGCGACAGCAAAAAGCTGAATGAGCCCCTGACCCCTGCGTCATCTGCCACCTGCTCTGTTTTCAGGAAAGGCACAACGCAAAGACAGTTGGTGAGATTAAGCAGTTTGTCTCGCAGCTGCCTCACATGCAGGCCGCAAGAGGGTCCCTGGCAAACCACACCTCCATTGCAGAGTTGATCAAAGACGTTACCAGTGAGTATCCTGTGCCGCCTTTCCTTCTGAGTGGGCTCTGGCCACGGCCTTGTGTTGGGCCATACCATCCCCAGTAGTTGCCTTGGGTGGACAGAATCAGTGCTTCTCGGTGCTGGCGGGCTTTCCCTCATGGGGTTCCCAGGCAGGACATGCTCCTCTGGTGCCTCTGTTCAGAGCCTTGCTTGTCCCAGCCCTCGAGTGCCGCCTGAGGTGGTGGTGTTATTCTTTATACACAACCTTCACAACACTCACCAGCTAACTGACAGTAAAGCCAGCTAGAGACTGGGCCATCTTGAGCCATTTTACGCCTCGATCAAGTAGAAATGAACGATGCTGTGCGTTTTAACAAATTAAAATCAGACTAACTCAGCCTCCTCCCCCTCCCACCACGTGCCCTGGTTTCCCTCTTGAGCCAGCCTGTCTCTGTACATAGAAAGCACCATTCCCTTGAGGCTTGCCTCTTCCTCACGCATGTCATCGTCATTGTTGTTCATGTCTGTGGCCTTGGGTTCTGTGGGTCTTCAGTTCATCTCCAGAGTCCTTCACATTTGTCACTCCCTGTCCATCACAAGATCATAATGTACAAAGCTGTTGTCCGGGCACTGGACACCAGTTGTTACAGATCCAGCAGCTCCTGAGTGTGTTTTGTACGGTCAGATGTAGTTTTCCTTTTCATGGCGTCTTTAAGGGCTTTAGCAACGCAGCTGCTGAGTCAAAGGGTTTGGTCATTTTGTGGTTTCTGAAATCTTCCTTTTGCATTGATGAAGTACAGAACGTTGGTGGGCTATTAAAAGAACTTACAGAGATTTATGGCAAATAAATTCATCTATAAAATTCCTCAACCTCAAAAGGTGGTGGAGTGAAAGCTTGGTTGGGTGTGTAACATTTTGTGACGACCAATGTATTGACCATGTAATGATAACTTTTGTGTAAAACAGACTCGAAAGATACAAGAAAATCCCCCTCTAGCTGCAAGCCCTTATCCCTTTGACATTATCATAAAACTACACCCATTGGCTGTGTTCATGTTAGTTTAGGAAGAATTCATTGAAACCAGAGTGCATCATAATATGGACAGTGGGGGTGCTGGGAGAGTTAATTATTTATTCATCCGGAGCCTTCTGCCTTCTGTGGCCCATTTCCCATTGCTTCTCCTGAAATACTTACGCTTCCTATGTCAGAGATGAGTTAGGAATATAAGCCAGAACCCTATTCCTGAATCCCGCCTGTACCCTACTCTATTTAGATATGTTTGAGGAGTGCTGGGATTATTTTCTCATCTTCCTCAGAAGTTTCCTTTCAGACGCATAATTTCAAGAAGTCTGTTTTGAATATAATATTGAACTAACTTTTGCTTACTTTCTGCTATGTATTTTCTTAATTAAAATCATGAACCCAAAGTGTATTTGTTTCCCATGTAGACAGCAAACATATTGTTTTCATTTCAAATTATAAATTTGCTCATAATATTTTTAGCTTCTGAAGATTTCTTTGATAAGCTAACAGTGGAGCAGGAGTTTATGTCTGGAATAGACACCGATAAGGTATGTGTATCATAGAGTTGTCTTTGGAGGTGGGAAATGGGAATGAGGTTATTAATTGCAGCAAACCATCAGAAACGTATTTATAGTCCCATAAATAACTCTTCTGATGGCTTTGACTCTCTCAACATGCCCCAGTACATTACCATAACTAGATATATCTTGTACAAGTTTGTACAGGTTTTAATCATCTCAATATATAAAACCCCAGACTTATCAATCAACAGCTATTAGCTGAGCACCTGCTGTGTGTGGGGCACCATGAGGGGGAGAAAGTTACCTAAGCAGATTCTTAATTCGAAGCATTTTCTGATGAGTGTGAAAGATGAATTGAGTTAATGGTGATTTGCTTTAAAGAATATTTCATAGGATTATTCCTCTAAGTATTACATTTCATTGATACTTTAAAATGTGATTTTATTTTATTTTTTAACTATACGACAAGCAAATTTCCATAAAGTGTAAAGCAAGGTGACCTTGCGCTATGATTGAAGGAGACCACGCAGGGACAGGCTGCCCTGATCACTGGACAGCCTTTAAGGAATTTTTCTATTCTGATAGGATATTTCAAGTGGCATGTAGCATTTTAATGGAATTCACTATCTGGTCACGCACAGGTGGCTTTTACCGCTTGTGCAACATGGTATAACTGGTAAATGAAATAAGTACGTTGTGATTTTGTCCCCCCTTTTGAAGGGCCAGGGCTTAAAGCGATTCATGATAATGAGAAATAAAGCAGTATTAGTTTTTGGTGCCCAAAATAGCAACATATACCACGTCTGTTTATGTTTACAGGTCAACAATTACATTGAGGACTGTATCGCCCAAAAACATCCATTGATCAAGATTCTAAGGCTGGTTTGCCTTCAGTCTGTGTGCAACAGTGGCCTCAAGCAGAAGGTGTTAGATTATTACAAAAGAGAAATTCTCCAGGTGGGTCGATTTTCAAATTAGGAACCTAACCCCAGGGAAAACATCTTAGAATCATCAGAAATGTTTCTGTCAGGCTGCTGGTATTTTAGTATATTACTGTCATCAGTGAGGACTTCAGGAGCACCCAGAGGGTACATAGGATTGCCACTTGATTGTATCTTGGGTGGGTGTGTGTGGGGTGTGTGTGTGTGTGTGTGTGTGTGTGTGTGTGTGTGTGTGTGTGTG